AAAAATGCATTTTACCTTGTCTGTCCCATTCTCGCTGTATGTTATATACTGGTTATTGGTTGTAGAATACAACACCTCATACTTCGTGACCCACTCGTGTAATTTATTATTCCCATTGCCTTGGCTTGCTATAGAACACATGTACGACACAGCACCAACATCAATCTGGAGGTAGTCATCACCTTTTTGTTTTTCTGGCCCCCATGCTGAATCTGAGCCAAGTCTTCCCATAGAAGGTTGGTGTTCGCTATTGTAATATGATGTTGTTGAAATCCTGTGGTTGAGAACCCGTTTAGAGCTTGGTATGCCCAAGCTGTGACTTGAACAAGCTGTAAACGTGGATGAAAGATTTGAAGTACTTATTCACATAAGTGTTAAAATTTTTATCTTAAAAAAAGATCTAAATGTCGATTTCGACTCGAGAGTAGAGCTACTCTGCTTGACAAAGGTTTACTGCTTGGCAAAACGGCAACTTTAAATATATGAATTAAATCAAAAAGTATTCTTTATTAGCAAGTTATATACTATTCTTCGATTAAACGTTACGTCATCGCGGCCTCACAGGGGAGCGATAAATTGGTGCAATTTAACAACGGCACCACAATGGCCGTCATTCTTTTGTCTTTTAACTCTTCTGGGCATGCTTGCAACCCATCAAGAGATAATGATAAATCCAACAGGTAATAATTAGCTTTAAGTTTCAGCATTTGAATTTTAGCCTTGACGTTTTATAAAGTCCTTTTGTTAATAGACAAGTTTGAAAGTATAATTTGCATATTTTTACAATAGGAAAAAGAGTATTCGACTAATTTGCATACGAAGTACGCGCATGCGCAGACGTTTCTATTATTCGTGCTGGATATATACTTAGATACTTGGACATTCGTGAACCCATTTTGTTTACAGTTTTAGCTCAACTTACTTTGATTTACTTGATATCCATAGATCTCTGTCCTCAAGCAAGGTGTAGTCTGGTGTGTCTTGGGTATGATACGTATGTATCTTAAAACAGTGCCATAGAAAAGAACTTGGCGTACCACCGTTGAACGATCAAAATTGCCCCAAAATACCTGTGAATTGAATTATCAATAGGTTTCTATAAGTATTCTTCATTCAATGCGAAATTCCAAGTAGTAGTCCATGTTGTACCATCAGTAGATGTATCTATCTGGTACGTCTTCACCCACTGATTTATCATACTATCACTAATGCTACATTACCCTGACAGTATTGTTCTCCTGATAAGTGGTACATGTTGTGCCATTAGTAGATGTATCTATCTGGTACGTCTTCACTCACTGA